ACTGGTTCCTTGGACTAATTGTTTCCATGCGTCTTTGTTTTTTTATTTTCTTTTGTTTTGTTTTTTCATTTTTGTTTGCTCCAGACAAGGAGAGAGCAGTTGTTGCATCTAGATTGCTGCTTGCAAGCTTTTAAGACCCCAGTCGCTACTCACCAAAGTAAGATGTGGAAGAATATTTTTGTGCAGTATGTTATACCAACTGAGCTTGATGTCCCCTGTGACCATGGTCCCAAGCCTACAGGTCCAGCAACTCACTCCATCAGGGTGATTGACTGTGGCTAAGAAGTTATCGTAACTTTGCCCCTGTTACTTGTATTTATATGGACATTCTTACAGTGCTTAAAAATACATATGTAGGAATATTGTCTGCCAACCTTATATATGGTCAGTTATATTCCCTTTTGCCTAGACATACCTGATCATTCAGCCTGTCTACCAATCTATTTAACCATAGATTAATGTTTGTTATCCCTGATAACTCAGTACTGTATATGTGAAAGGGTTTATCTTTGTTTTCTGTATCTCTCGTGCACCTCTCTGTGTCTTCCTTTTCCTTAGTGTTGTTGTGTTGGTCAGTCAACCTGGTATATTGCCTTTCCCTTCACACATATCAATACTTGCTAAATAGGTTAAGAAACAAGTAAACTCAAGTAATTCTTGAATATTGAATATACCATAGACTGCTAGTTGTTGTTGTAAGGTGCTATTGAGTCATTTCTGACTCAAGCGACCCTATGCACAGCAGAACGAAACACCGCCTGGTCCTACACCAGCTCCATGATCCTTGCTATATTTAAGCCCATCACCATAGCCACTGTGTCAATCCATCCCATTGAAGGCCTTCCCCTCTTTTATCAACCTTCCACCTTACCAAGCATGACATCCTTCTCCAGGGAATGGTCCCTTCTGATAACATGACCAAAGTAGGTGAGGCGAAGTCTGGCCATTCTTTCTTCCAAGGAGCATTCTGGCTGCACTTCCTCCAGGACAGATTTGTTATATCTTTCAGCAGTCCATGATACTCCCAGCATTCTTCACCAGCACCACAACTCAAAAGCATCAACTTTTATTTGGTCTTCTTTATTCATTGTCCAATTCTCACATGCATATGAGATGATTGAAAATACCATGGCTTGTGTCAGACTCACCGTAGTCCTCAAGGAGGCATCTTTGTTCTTCAGCACTTGAAAGAAGTCCTTTGCAGCCAATTTGCCCAGTACAATACATCATCTGATATCCTGACTGCTGCTTCCATTGGCATCGATTGTAGAACCAAGCAATGTGAAGTCTTTGACAACTTCAATCTTTTCTCCATTTATCGTGATGATGCTTATGGTCCAGTTGTGAGGATTTTTATTTTCTTTATATTGAGATATAATCCATACTGCAGACTATAGTCTTCAATCTTCATCAGTAAGTGCTTCAAGTCATCCTCACTTTCAGCAAGCAAAGTTGTGTCATCAGTGTATCACAGGTTGTTAATGATTCTTCTTCCAATCCTGATGCCACACTCTTCTTCATATAGTCCTTTGCTCAGCATGTAGATTGAATAAGTATGGTGAAAGCATACAACCCTGACGCACTCCCTTCTTGATTTTAAATCATGCACTGTCCCCTTGTTCTGTTCAAACAACAGTCTCCTGGTCAACGGACAGGTTCCTCATGAGTCTTAAACACAATTAAGTGTCCTGGAATTCCCATTCATCTCAATGTTATCCAAAATTTGTTATGATCCACACAATCAAATGTTTTTGCACAGTCAATAAAACACAAGTAAATATCTTTCTGGTATTCTTTGCTTTCAGCCAATATCCATCTGACATTAGCAATGATATTCCTCTTTTCACATTCTCTTCTGAATCCATCTTGCATTTCTGGAAGTTCTCTGTCAATATATTTCTGCAACCATTTTTGAATTATCTTCAGTAAGATTTTACTTGCACGCGATATTAATGGTATTGTTTGATAATTTCCACATTCTGTGGGATCATCTTTCTTTGGAATGGGTACAAATATGGATCTCTTCCAGTCAGTTGGCCAGGTAGCTCTCTTCCAAATCTTCTGGCATAACCAAGTGAGTGCCTCCAGTGGGGCATCCATTTGTTGAAACATCTCAATGGGTATTCCATCAATTCCTGGAGCCTTGTTCTTCACCAGTTCCTTCAGTGCAGCTTCGACTTGTTCCTTCAAAACCATTGGTTCTTGATCATATGCCACCTCCTGAAATGGATGAAGATAGACTGGTTCTTTTTGGTATAATGACTCTGTGTATTCCTTCCATCTCCTTTTGACGTTTCCTGCATCATTCAATATTTTGTCCATAGAATTTTTCAATATTGCAACTTGAGGCTTAGATTTGTTTCTCAGTTCTTTCAGCTTGAGAAATGCTGAGTGTGTTCTTCCCTTTTGGTTTTCTAACTCCAGGTCTTTGCACATTTCATTATAGTAATTAGCTTTGTCTGCTTGAGCTGCTCTTTGAAATTGTCTGTTCAGCTCTTTTATCTTGTCATTTCTTCCATTTGCTTTAGCTACTCTCCACTCGAGGGAAATTTTCAGAGTCTCTTCTGACATCCATTTTGGTCTTTCTTTCTCATCTTTTTAATGACCTCTTATTTTCTTCATGGATGATATTCTTGATGTCATCCCATAATTCTTCTGGTTTTCAGTCATTGGTCTTCATTGCATCGAATGTGTTCTTTAGATGGTCTCTAAATTCAGGAGGGATATATTCAAGGTCATATGTTGGCTCTTGTGGACTTGTTTTAATTGTCTTCAAGTTGAACTTATGTATGACCAGTTCATGGTCTGTTCAATAATCAGTTCCTGGCCTTGTTTTGGCTCCAGATATTGAGCTTCTCCATTGCCTCTTGCCACAGATGTAGTCAGTCTGATTCCTGTGTTCTCTGTCTGGTGAAGTCCATCTATATAACCACCATTTGTGTTGTTGAGAAAAAGATATTTGCAATGAATAAGTCATTGATCTTGCAAAATTCTGTCATGAGATCTCCAGTATTATTTCTGTCACCAAGGCTAAATTTTCCAACTACTGGTGATTCTTCTTTGTTTCCAACTTTTGCATTGCAGTCACCAGTGATAATTAACATATCTTGATTGCATGTTCAGTCGATTTCAGACTGCAGAAGTTGATAAAAATCTTTAATTTCTTCATCTTTGGTTTTGGTGGTTGGTGCATAAATTTGAATAATCATAGTATTAACTGGTCTTCCTTGTAGGCATATGGATATTGTCTTATCACTGACAGCATTGTACTTCAGGACAGATCTTGAAACATCCTTTGTGATGATGAATGCCATGTCATCCCTCTTCAAACTGTCATTCCCAAGATGTGGATCCTTATGGTTGTCTGATTCCAAATGGCCAAAAACGGTCCATTTCAGCTCATGAATGCCTAAGATATCAATCTTTATGTGCTCCATATCATTTTTGACAACTTCCAATTTTCCTAGATTCATAGTTCCTACATTACATGTTCCAATTATTAATGGATGTTTACAGCTGTTTCTCCTCAGTTTGAGTCGTGCCACATTAGCAAATGGAGGTCTTAAAAGCTTTACTTCATCCATATCATTAAGGTTGCTTCTACTCTGATGAGGCAGCTCTTTCCCACTCATATTTTGAGTGACTTCTAACCTAAGGGGCTGGTCTTCCTGCATGTATCAGACAATGTGTCACTGCTATTCATAAAGTTGTCCAGTAGTGTATCAGATAGTGTTTCTCTGCTATTCATAAAGTTTTCCCAGGCCAATTCTTTGAGAAATGGATGGCCTCTTCCTGCTTCCTAGTCTGTCTCAGTCTGTAAGCTGTGTTGAAACCTGTGCATTATGTGCAACCCTGCTGGCATTTGAGACACCGGTGGCACAGCCTCAAGCCTCACAGCAACATGCAAGCCCCACAGGATGACAAACTGACAGACAAGTTTGTCTTCCTTACCTGTTTGAAACTTCTCCACCCTCCCCTTACCTGGATCCCACAGCTTTATCGTCTCTAGCTTTTCCCCTTCTACCTCTCTCTTGGGTGTGGGGCCTGTCTGCCTCCCCTTAACTGGATTCTCATAGACTGCTAGAACAAATCTGTCTTGAAGTACACCTGGAATGTTCTTAGAAGCAAGAATGGCCAGACTTCATCTCTTGTACTTTGGTCATGTTGTCTGAAGGGAACAATCCCTGGAGCAGGATATCATGCTTGGTAAAGTACAAGGTCAGAGAAAAAGGAAAGACTTTCAACAAAATGGATTGACATAGTGGCTGCAACGATTAACTGAAGTGTGACAATTGTGAGGATGGTACAGGACGAGGCAATGTTTTGTTCTGTTCTACATGAGTTCACTATGAGTCAGAAGTGACTCAATGGCACCTAAACAACAGTAATAATCCTTGATGAATGATATGTGTATATGTGTATTAATCTAGAACTAAAATTCCAGATTATACTAATGTAAAAGATGATGGGCAAGGAAAGTAGAGATAAGTAAAACTGTGGCAAGTTTCTAGAAGGTTTGGAAAAATACAGATGATAACTAAATCTAGATGTCAAAAGTACACAAAAGACAAAAAAGCAAAATGCATATACATATCTACATATAATCTACAAATGTTAAGTACATAGAGAAGGACCTAGCACAATACATAGAAAGCCTTTAGCAATGATCACCTCTGAGCAGAACATGAAGGGAGGCTTGCACCTTGTAACTCAGCAATTTCCAAATTTTTGAATTTTATATAATATAAATGTGATTATTTAAAATCACATGTATAGAAATAAAGCTAAAGATTATTTTTTAAAAATACAGCCTGAAAATTAAGTTTGTTCCCAATGTATAACAAGGCTATTGTCATGAATAGGAAGAACTGGTAAAAATCATTTCTATTTCTTTTAGGATTGTTTGAATAAATGAAGAACTATTACTTCTGACTTTTAATTATCATTTTATTCTTTTTTTCCCCTCCTCCACATCCCAATTCTTCCTTTCTTAATTTTAGACCAGGAGACATGATTACTCTTTTAGAGGATTCCAATGAAGACTGGTGGAAAGTAGGTATTTTCCTTTAAAAAAAAATCAGTAACTCTAATTGCAATAAATGCTACAATTGTAAATGCGTGCCTCCTTTTCCTTTTAGGGGAAAATTCAAGACAGGATTGGCTTCTTTCCAGCCAACTTTGTTCAGAGAGTAGAACAAGATGAGAAGATTTTTAGATGTGTTAGAACCTTCATTGGGTGTAAGGAACAGGGACAGATAACACTGAAAGAGAATCAGGTGAGTAAAGCAAACAAACACATACAAAGTTTGACCAAAATGTTACAGTCATTTTAATATATATGAATTCACCTTGGGAAGAGATATACTTATTCCAATGACGTTAGTGTACCAGAATCAAAACACGCAAAACCAAAATTTTAGGAAGCTCAATTGGTAGTATTTGTGCACAAGAGGAAATGTAAATAACATCATGGTGGTAGGATGAGGAGATCTGGTCCCCAAACTTTCTTCTGTGTACCATTGGTCTCTGATGTGGGTAGCTAGTCTAGTGGAGTTTATATTGGTGTCTACCACTCTTTCGTTAATACTTTCTGATGTTTTTGAGATACCTTGCTGTTATTTGTGTGTCTGTATCCCATGGTTCATAGTGTTTGCCTCCAGTGAAAAAGGCCCCTCAGAGGTCTCCTTGTACCAGCTCTCAGCCTTTGCTTGTTCACTGAAACCCATGATACCTTCACTTGACTCCATCAGACATGGGTAAGACATGGCAAACCAGGTCACTATCTCAGGCCCATGCCCTGCACATATCTTTACATCTAATGTAACACTTGTCTGGAACCATCTTGTTCCAGTACCATGCTCCACGTGGAGTTCTCTATGATGCTGTCAATTTTCTGAGGATTAAGGACTGAACCCCCTGTATCCATATATCTTTAAGCTACTTGCTTCTTGCTCCTCCACCTGCCCCCTGGAATGTTAACATGGACAGATGGAACACTCACAGCTCAGTCTTTGTTCTACTCTCCCTCTCTCTGTTGTAATCTAGCAAACAGAAGGTCTCTTACTTCTCCTTCTTCTCTGAATGCAACTGCCATCATGTCATGCCCTGTATTATCACTTCACTATCTAAGAGTGAAATAATATGCCCAGCCAATTTTCTCAAGATATATATGGAGAAGATTTTAGAAATTAGAAATATATTTTCTCTCCCAATAAAGCTTCATAATGGCTTCAATTTTCAATGTTGGAAGTCAAAAGGAGAATACTGTCTCTTTCTCTGCCTGCATTCATGCTGTAGTAATTCTAATACTCCCCATGGCAGTGAATGTCTCTGGTTGAATCTATTGCATCTCACCCTATGAGGAATTACAAAATGAAATCTGCATTAATATATTTACTATTTACCCCTGTTCAATAGAATTGCCTAGAGCACATCTTGAATGATTCTTTATGAGTTGCCTTCAAGGGCAGTTACTAATTCCCACAAGAAAATCGGTCATTACTTTATATCTGATATGTAACCAAAAAAAAAAAAAAAATCATCCAAATTGATCAATCATTTTATATGCCACAATTGGCTCCAAATGATTTTTTTTTTATCGTTTTCAAAATAACAAATGCACCCTCAAAGAATAAAGTTTAAACTTTTCTTTATAATGATTTAAAGGAATCTCTGAAAGAAAGAATTTAAAGAAAAATTAGAATCTAAAGGAGAAGCATTATAAACCTCCCTTATATTCAAAGAAGTAAAAATGAGAAACCAGTGAGTTTCCCTATATTTTTAACAAAGATGAGGGTGGGTTCAGTGAAACTGGTATTTTCATAAATACTACGATACATTGGCTCACTCATTTTAGATAGTGATTAGGTATTAAGAGCCATGAAATTGCTCACCACCATGAGAGCAATAGTTTCATTTCTTATAATGTAACCTAAGACTGTCATCTAAAATACAGGAGGAAAACTGTATATAAAAAAGACATCATCATAGCAGTATTCATGATGAGAATTAGGAACAAATGCACAAAAATGAGGTGATTGAATCAACAAAAAATACTTTCCTCAATGGAGTATGAGGGACCAAGGCCAGGTTTGATGGTATTATGATAATATTATGTACAGAATATTGCAATTCAGATCCAGGTCCCAGTCACCTGTCCCCCAGAGTAAGCACAATGGGAAAGCTGCAAAAGGGGCTGCAGCCTTGATTTCAATATTGGAACCATAGCATACCAGACAGAGCATCAGACATGACCTAGGATCCTTAAAGTCCTCCTCACCACAATGCAACCACTGCCACTGCTAAGAGCCAGTGTGAATCTCAGAATCCTACAGCACCCAGATGTCTCATGAGAGAACAATAGAGAAGAAAAGAACTCAACAAACTCACTGCCCTCAAGTGGAATCCGACTCATAGCGACCCCTCCTTGGGTTTCCAAGGCAGTATCATTACTGAAGTAGTTTTCCCAACCTTTCTTCCAAGAGAAGAAAGGAGGAAGCTTTAATGTTATTGCTGTTGTTGCTAGTCGCTATCAAGTTGGCTCTGACTCATGGTGACCTTATGTATAACAGATAGTGACAAACCCCTGATACATATAGCCCAATCAGATTTCTTCCCTTTGGGGAAGTGAGGAAAGGACAAGGAGAAAGGAGCAGAGATCTCCAAATATTATGTTGCCATCTTAAATGACAATTTTATGAACAAAGAAGGGGTAAGTTAAAAGTTGATTTAATGTGGTGACAATATAAACAGAAGAGAGAAAGAGAAATAATTGGAAGGGTCATTTAAGGGTTTTTATTACTTCTCTATTTAAATGATGTCCCTACTATTAAAAAAAAATAATAATAAGTAAAGTTAAAATTACTCAATCTTATCTTTTGAATCAGTAACTTAAAGGTACATAGTGTTGCTGTAGGAGCTCTGGTGACGTAGTGTCTAAGGCATTTGACTGCTAACCAGAACGTTGGCAGTTCAAACCCACCAGCCACTCCACAGAAGGAAGACTGGGCAATTTCTTCTGTAAATATTTACTGCCTCAGAAATCCAAAGGGGGTGGCTATGAGTCAGAATCAACTCAATGGCAGTGAGTTTGGTTTTGGTTTAGTGTTGCTGTGTTCTGGGTCTCAGCTTTACATTTGCATGTAAATACACACACACACACACACACATACACATACACACAAGAATACCACCCCATCTGACTATTGCTATCTCTAATTACAGTATCTAATTACAGTAAAAAACTCATTGCTGTTGAGTTGTTCCCCACTAAGTACTGCTTATATAGAAGCTCTGATGGTGTAGTGCCTAAGGCATTTGACTGCTAACCAGAAGGCTAGCTGTTCAAATCCACCAGCCACTCCTGGGAAGGAAGACTGTGCATTCTGCTTCTGTAAAGATACTCCCTTGGAAACCGAAGGAGGGATTACTACGAGTAGGGACCAACTCAACGGCAGTGAGTTTGTTTTTTTTGTTTTGTTTTTGGCTATTGCTTATATAAATACAAGTACCCTTAGAAGCATATGCCATCTAATGATTTTTTATTATTAAAATCACTAATATCCTTATGAGGAGCTCTGGTGGCGTAGTGCCTAAGGCACTTTACTACTAACCAGAAGGCTGGCAGTTCAAACCCACCAGCCACTCCTCGGAAGGAAAGTTGGGCAATCTACTTCCATAGTGATACCGCCTCAGAAACCCAGGGAGGGGTCGCTATGAGTTGGGTCCAACTCGATGGCATATAACAACAACAATATCCTTATGAAATTGGGTCACTGAACTGTATGGTTTTATGCTATTTTTATAAGTTTTTTGCTTCATTTTGATTATTTGATATTGCCATTTTTCCCTTCCATAAACCTTGTTTACAAGATTCTCCCACTTTGGAACAGTCTACATTTTGAAGAGCAGATCACTAGCCAACAGTGTGCTGACTTGAAGTATGCCTTGCCTAAGGTCTCCTGATCCTTCTCTTCCCACCCAAAGTTGCTCATTCTCCCTGGAGCTGTTATTACCCAACTCATTATTTACCACCATGCTCCCTACCTATGAAGAGTCCCCTTTAATGACAGCACCCCAGAGGCACACACCACTCCCTTGTCTCTGGAAAACTGCACACATTTGCACACCCCTCTCTCTCATAAAAATACATGATGTTACTTTTTGAATTGTGATGATCTGTTTTTGGATCTTTTTCTTGAGAGAGAACCTTTTATCTCCACCCCTTGGTTCACAGAGAAGGAAAGAACAACTGCCTTGTACCTTGTTGCAAAAATAGTATGATCGTCATTATTAGTCATTATTTTACAATGCCATATGTGCATATTATATTATATTTATAAAGCTTATATGTCTCCATCAATATTGTATTTGAGGTTCCACAGCTACCTTGTGAATTTTCTATGTTATTGATGATTTCTCTTTTATAAATGAGGAAACAAAGACTCAGGAAACCTAGAAAGTGACCAGATTGGAATTAAACCACAGGTCTGCAAACTCCAAGGCAATGCCTCCCACTGAGTCAGTCTCTGGACACTATGGAATGAACTGAATAGTAAAGAAACATTTACGTAGCTTGACTCCCTGGGAAGACAAGCATCATAAAAGAGTCCTTCCTTAATAGAGGGCACATTCTTGCTAACCTAGTCTACTTACAAAGTGATTCTTGACTCCAGTCAATCGAATCATCACTATCAAACTGATACTCTGTCTTTAATGCCACACACACCTCACAAAGCAAATGGGTGCTTATCCCAACTTGGATCCATGCCAACACTTTGAACTTCTCTAAGTTTACCCTTTCTGTTCCAAAAATATGGAAAGTCTTCAAGTGAAATAAATTTGGAAAGGATTATCATCTTTCTTGGCTAAGTATTATTAAAGAATCTTCCTAGTGTATTTTATTTATTTTTTTCTCAGATTAATCTTGTGCTTCCCCATTTGAGATTAAACATTCTTCTCATGTTATTACAATACAAATCAGTGTAACCAGAAAGCAAATTAAAATTTGCTCAAGTTGATCAATTTCCAGGAACACAGCAGATGCTCAATGACTCCTACTAACTCCTTGGGCTTATTCTCCATGGAAAAATCTTTTCTGGAAGCAGGCTCTTCAGCCCCAATTCTACCCCCTCATAGTTGAACTGACCATCTGTTGGAGTGAGGGAGGGATGAAGCATCTTTACAACTAGTCATTTCCAAGACACAATATTCCTGGTAAAAAATAGCCATGTATATAGTAGAGCTAACAGGAGGCAAAGTTATGAAAACTTCTTAG